GTTATGTACGTGAATGAGTTTGTTTATAATGTAATTAATTTTTAAAAAAATCTCGAATGTAAGACCTATAAAAGCAAGAGTTCCTCAAGGTTCTGTCCTGGTTTCACAGCTCTATAATGTAATAAAATCCCATTTCCTCTTTTCCCATACTTTCCTATCCTATCCCCACTCCCCTTCCTCTTCCTGAACAACAAGTTAACTGGAAAAAACCTGAAATCTATGAGGCTCTTGGGATATTAAAAATACAAAGTCATGTTGGGGTCTTGGCGTTGACTATTGATGGCTCTTGGCGTACTGGTAACTTGCCTCATGCCTGAAATCTGCAAGAGTGATTTTTCTGCATAAGGGTGAAGATTCTCAGGACCCTTCTAATTATCGTCAAATTTCCTTGCTTTCGACTTTATCTACGGACATTCAAAAGATTGTTAAAAAGAGAGTATGGTATTTTCTTCATTCACCAAATCATATTTTTTCGGGAAAAATTGGATTTCGGAGCTTCCTGGGCACTCATGCTATTTTTGATTTTTCAACTAGGGTTTGTCTTGACCTTAATGATACGTACGGCGGTGGCTGCAGTGTTCTGTGATCTTACCAAGGCCTTCTACTGCGTGGACCACAGTATGCTGCTATCCAAGCTTGAGTTGTATGGATTCAGGAACTCTTCGCTGGTGTGATTTCGGTCGTATCTGGACCATCGTCAGCAGTCAGTAGTTGTATCGGGTAGTAGGTCTTCAGTGTTGAGGATCAGGAATAAGGTACCACAAAAATCTCTTCTGGGACCCCTTCTGTTTCTGATATACAGGGTGAGTTAATAAGCGCGCGGTGGTCCATATCTCCTATACTAACAGAGATCGAAGAAAAAAGTAAATATAAAACTTGTAGATAAACATAAATACTACATTCCTTAATTATTTTCTAGTATACAGGGTGGCCCAATAAATAGTGGTAAAACAAGGTTATGTTCTTTTGAATGACTAGCCCTGTATATTGTGACATTTCTGGATTCTGCGGAAGATTCTGATGATTAGAATTTCACCTAAATTTATAATCTTCGGTTAAATTCAAAGTTGGTGTCAAATGATAGCTTATGAAAATGTATCTATCTCTAAATAAACTGTCAATATTTCCGAAACAGTTGAAGATAGGTATATGACATTGTACATTCAGGGTTAGTCGTTTGAAAAAACATAACCTTGTTTCACCACTACTTATTGAGCCACCCTGTATATTGGAAAATAATTTAGAAATGTAGTACTCATGTTTATTAACAAGTTTTGTATTTACTTTTTTCTTCGATCTCTTTTAGTATAGGAGATAAGGCGCTCTTAGTAACTCACCCTTTATATTAACGGTCTTGTCAGAGTGAATATATCTGATCATTTACACACCTATGCAGACGATACTTCTGTTGTCTGGTACATTAGACCTATCTATTTTACCAGACAAAGAGGTAATAATACGAAAACTTCATTAGATAAAAAAAGACACAGAACGCTCATTGCGCAGGACGAGGCAAAACGTACCAAATTATGTTAGACTTACGTATAACGATCCGTTCTTCTTATTTGCACGGGATAAAAAAGGAAGGAGAAAGACCGCATGTTGTGCAACGTATTTGTCAAAAACAACTTTTGAACGTCACTTGTCAAGCTATGTCAAGTTGAATATAAATCGTACTTTTATTCTTCTCAAACCACGGGCAATAAACAGGGACAAGGAGATGCCCAGCGTGCAAAACGAACACCTCTCACCTGTACTAGTTAGCCAATAGAAAGGCATTGCCTCGTGTTGCGCGCGCATACCAGGTAAAAATAGATAGGTCTATTACTGGAGCAGAATGTGTCCCATTAAGAAAGAAGACCTGGTTTAACTGTACTTAATAGAATTACTTTGAACATCGATAAGGCTCATGTAATGGGTTTTAAATGTGACATGGAGGGATTGTATTTGGATAGTAAACGAATATTTGCGGGCCCTCATGTCACTAGATTTTTGGGTGTATTTATTGCGAATTACGTTTCGAAAAGCACATCATCAAGCACAGCAAAAAACTATCATTCGCTGGTTTCGCAATCAAGGCTGCTAGAGAAACTTTCGGTTCCTGGGTGGCCACGAGATGAACTATATTTTGTTCTCTTTGATTTCCACTCGCGATATAGCATAGCTTCCTGGGGCATGAGTAGTCAGTGGATGCTAAACATTGTAGTTTTATCGCAGAAAAAAAGCAGTGCGTTGTATCGTAGGGGCTAATCAGAGGCGATCGTGTCACAAAATAACAAATAATCAGGAGGAACACAGAAATATCCTATTTGCTTTGTATGACCTCGAACCGGGCTAACGGCGGAAATATCAGGGGCGCACACTGGTAAACCCTCTTCCGCCGACATTTACCGTCAAGAATACTGATGAAATTAACTGGTGACTTACCACTTTTTGCCGTTGTCCAAGGGGCGTGGCTTTCTCCATGACCATCGGATCTCTCTTTCTGTCTTTCTTTTGATTGTTTGTTATTCTGTGATCGTGTCGTCCAATCTTTATTTAAAATAACATTCTAACTTTATCATCCTTGTTTGTCCTTGAGACTGCGCCGCTCTTATCTGCAAGAATTTGGGTTCAGGGCTAAATTATGGACCGACTGATAAGTGTCAGGTTGTTACCTAGCTATTTTCTAGAGCATGGAAAGTACCTGCTAGGTAATAACCTGACACTTATCAGTCGGTCCCTAATTTGGCCCTCCAGTGTTGTTAACGACATATTTCAATTTAAATTGCCTAAGATTTTTTTCTTTGACTTTAGGCAGAATTTCTCATTTTTTATTTCAAGATTATCTGGGCTCAAGTCTTACACTCTCGAAGTATGGGCATCAGAAGGAAAATGTATTGCATTCCCTGAACAGTTTCTGTTTTACAGTATTTTTCTTGTTAGTGGAAAATAAGAAAAGCCAGTTGAAACATTAATGTGAAAAAAGGTCCTATTCTCTTGTGCAGAGAACAACTAGTCAAACAAAGCTCCATACAACTGAAAAAGAAGTCCTAGAAATAGAGTCCAATTAACAATAAACAGCATGTTTTTGTTTTGCTAGTTACACTCCAAAGCCACATAAAATATTTATATTCTGTTTATTTCCAGTCTTGCCTTGGTAAAGGTACATATTTATGCCATTGTGCGTTTGGAAAGTTTTGCAAATGTCCGGACTTCAATTCCACAGTAATGATTGTTATTAAAAAAACAGTGAATGTGTATAGTCATACACTTTGTAACGAAGGTTACTAAATTTTCCGTCCATCCCGGTCGTTCAATTAGTTAAAAATTAGCGCGAGTTCAATCAATCGGATTTTATGAGACTCACCCCGGGGTGGAGTAGATTCTGAGAGGGGTTGCAACCCGCTGCAGTTCCCCATGATCGCGTGACCTCGTATTCTCCGCACTGGTAGAGTGGATACGACGCGCGATCGTCGCCATACCCACACTCCTTGCGCGCGACCTTCGAAGCCGGTACCAGGATTTTTGGCTATAAATATAGCCGCGCTGCAAGAGAACCGGCATTCCGTCTCCGATTCCGCTTCCGACTCCAGCTCCGATCCGACCAGCCGACAGCCAAGGTACGCCGACCTCCGCCGCCGTCTCCGCCGTCTTCAGCCGCCGCCGCGACGCCGTCATCCGCCGCGACGCTGCCAACAATGGTAAAGTAGAGTGAGAGGGCAGGTATCTTCTTCTAAGGGGTATAAGGATCAAAGATTGTATAGCGTGCTGCCGGACCGATTACGGGGCTATCTATCCTTTCTATGACGAGGCAAGGGGGGGTCTGTCCGGACCGATTACGGGGGTTCACTCTTGCTTCTATCCTTATATTTCTGACATTTCTTTCTTCTTTCATTGGCATATTTATTGGTGACATGGATTGCACGGGGTTGCTGCCGGACCGATTACGGGGCGCTCTAATCTTTCCATGACGAGCCAAGAGAGCGTCTGTCCGGACCGATTACGGGGTATCTCTCTTGGTTCCATTCCAATACTTATGTCATTCTCTGGACTGCGGATCGAATAGCGTTTCGGCTCTATTCTCTCCGTAGAGGATTGGTGGGGACGTCTCCGACCGAACCGATACCGAGTGACGCACCCCTCCAATTCTGTCCTTCTCTTTTCTTTAAACCTGCACTCTACTCGGTTGCATGTTTCGCGCATGCGCCTTGAATACGAGCTGAAGGTGGTAGGAGCACGGCAGCCTAGCATCAATAATTCCTTGGAGCTATTTACCGAAACCGTTATTTTTCCGCAATGCTATTGACCGATACCGTTATTTTTCCGCGATCTTATTACCGCGATTTTCCGCCACGTACATAGTATTTACACATTATTCCCGCCGACTTCGTTCCACTCTCCCCGCTCTTCGTCTCTCATTTAATTGCATTTTTCACTGTTCCTTTTATCCTATGTTATTGGGCAAATAAAAACTTTAATTTGTAAGTTGGATTCTGTGTTTCATTTTGAGGATGCGCATATTGACCTCTGGTTTTCCGTCTCCACTGTTTAAAAGCTACCTAGAGCACGTGGGCCCTTAACCACATTAATCCTAAGGGTGGCGCCCGAGTTTTCCGAAAATTCCGAAATCAACCGCTTTCCCACCGGAAAACCAAAGTAGCGCTACAACTTACAAATTATCTAGTATCATAAGCAGCTTTTTCTAACTCTAAATCAATATCAAGTACCCACCCACACCCACATTCAACGTAAAACTTTTTCGAGTAGCAACAAAACACACAAACTTTGTTAATTACCAACAAAAAAACCCGTGGCGAATGATTCCGGAACCGTGGCGGTAATAGAATACTTTCGAGGGCGCTTAAAAGCATCGTAACTTGAGAAGAATATACTTTACTGGCCTGTGAAAAGCTCAAACTATACAGGAACTCCAATACTGATAGGAATTGGAGGGCTTTATAAACATTGAAGTTTTTTAATCTGTTGGTATTTTTTCAATACTTTTTGTTCTATTTCAGACGAACTATAGTCGACATTTGGAGGAAATAGCCAAAGAGGCGGAAGCCCAAACATTGGCTACCGTTCAAGTTTTGTTGCTAGAAGAACAATCCAATAAAGCAGCGCAATTACTCGAATATTGGGAAGAGTATTTATCGATATCTGGTAAGTCAATTATAATTGTTTTAATTCAGTTAATTATTTAACTGAATTTGTGCAGTTGCCCAACAATTGTAATTTATTTCAATATTCTAAAATCTATTGGGAAATGGGATGTGACAATTGTCTAATTAACGCTACCGCGAACTATTGGATTTAAGTGCGGCGGCATTAAAATCCGGATTAAATTAATAATTCAAATGGATTTTGAGTTGAATTTATGTTAACTCTGAAACTAAGTGTACATTATTTGCTTGGTACAGGAATGTTGAAACACAGAAGCTCTAAAATACGTTAACAAACAACAATATTGCATATTTCATTTCAGGTCTCTATTTGTTTATTTTGTGGTATATACATAAAGTTCGTTTCACCAGGGTTCATACTTTACCATGAAACTTGACAAAAAAGGGTTGTCGTAGATTAATTCATATGACACATTCAATTTTTTTGACAAATTAAAATGAATGACGTCTTGTTTTTGACGTCATTGATTTGTTTCAGTCAATTTTTATTTGTTAAACAAGGAAGACAAATGCTGGTGGCAAGTACAAACCCTGGTGAAACAAACTTTACATATTTTGCTTAATGACTTGCAGACCTAACAGTGTATTACGTAACTAAGAATCAAATGTCTTATATCATATCTAACACATCAACATCAGGTAAAATTTATTTAGGCTTGAAAAACTAATTATTATTCTAAATATTTTCTTCAACACTTTCCCTGATTGAAATTTTATGATTTTTCACATTAGTTCCATTTATGAACACAGGATCTGATGAGTTTAGTTTTACTCAAGGGTTTGGTAATCACATCTGCTGCCTGCAAGTTGTTCTTCAGTTGAAACTTGCTCAATTTTCAATTTTCCTCCAAGAACTTTCTCGCTTATGACCTTTTTGCACAATTCTACTTATAGAGTAAATTCACTGTTGCATCAGGAGCATACATAACCTCTTCTGCAGGTATAATTTTATTTGAAACATAAAATTACCACGCTTATGTTCGCTGTTCCTTATGCTTATATTCTCTGACTATACTGAGTTCGGAATTATTTGCTGTCTTTATGTTTCCACCTTCACTAGATACATTGGCCTTTAACCACTCGCCTCTGTAGAGCAATAAGGGGACAAGCGACAATTGAACCATTTTTGAGATAACCGCCATAAACATACTCATGTAGACAGAAAAAGTACAAATAAATACAAATAAATAATAATTTTCAAACTTGCAGCTTTATCCGAGGTGTTCTCACCAATCTTGTTTGGCACCTGGTCCCTTCTTGCTCTTCAGGAGCGCACTGTTTATTTTTGGTTGAATGCACTGAAGCATTTACGTACCATACGTCGTTCTGTTCCTCTGTACTTTCTCTGAGGATTCCCCTTATTCTTATTGTTATCGTTATCATTCTATTTAGCAAACATTGTGCGTTCTAGTAGCCAATTTTACCACTATTATGATATTTTATCTTATTTTTCTCAAGGTCTCTGTTAGAACCGTTTTTTGAAAACAGAGTTGCATTGTTGCACAAAAACAAAAACGCTATTACCTTTTATTTTAACTAAACTATGGCTGGGCCAGTGGCGTATCCAGGGGGGGGGGCAAAGGGGGCAATTCCCCCCCCCCCCCCCCCCAGAGCAACAACCTTTTATTCCTTTTATTTCTTAAAAAATATCTCAAATAACAAAAAATAATTTTTCTACTCACATGAGCAAAGTTATTACTTTGTACACTCATTTGCGTGCGCAAAGTTGAACTTTGCGCATGAAAACTCTTTGCGCACTCATTTTTGTTTCACATAATTATTGTATTTATACTCGATTTGTCAATGTTTCAATGTTTTGTGGGTTTCTGGATAAACTAATATTCAAAAAGAAGGGCTTGATGATATTTTTCTTCCAAGAAAGGCATTCAGGTAATTTTTAGCTTTTAATTTGACACTTTCCGTATGAGGAGCGGAACGCGGGGAGGAAAAATCCAGCAAAAACAGGTAGTGAGTTCAGGTGACCATTGGCGTGAGGAGCCACCAACTTCCATTCCTTTGGAGTATCACATCATAAAACTTGGACAGTAAGTTATACTCCTCCATATACTTCCCAGCTTAATGGTGCTGCGGAAAGAATTAATCAGATACCAATGGGATGAAAAGACACATAAAAAAATATCAACAAATTTTAAGTAAACCTCGCTAGCACAACCACTACTGCAAATAAAGTCAAGCTGATCACTGAAAAAACAAATAATTGAAAACACGACACATTTAACTAAGAGAGAAAATTACCAGTTTTGGATGCTATGCAAATTTTCAAAAACTCTTAGAAAAAGTATTGTCCTAACACTTGCGCAGCGTGTCTTTTCCGCACTGAAAGTTTATCCGAACTCCGCTTCGCGTCGTTCTGCGGGAAAGTATCACTTTGCGCACTTGTTAGGAAAATAACTATTTTTATGTAAGTATGTATTACACACCTTTGAATTTACCTTTTTTAGTTTGGTTTTATGTTATATGTTACTTGTTTCTTGAAAGTCGATTTCTGAGGAAAATAAATAATTTCAGTTATAAACGTATTCTCGTTTCAATGAGCAGTCCAAACATTTTTTCACTGGCGGCTCATCGCAGGCATACGGAACCATGGCACTACCTTATTTTTCAATAAAAATATTTTTTTGGTCCTATAAAAGTATTATAAGCGCGCGAATATGCCATCAAGATGTGTGATTTTAACGATTTATGGGCGTGGCACCTGGTTTGCCCCCCCCCCAGAGCCTCTGGCTGGATACGCAACTGGGCTGGGCCTATAACCTGTTAGGGTATTTTCTGTGTGCGCCAATGAAACAAAGGGTATTATTGGAAGCAACGTTTATTATAAAGAAAGGTTAGTCGAGCGTTTTACACTAGGGCTACGAATTATATTTAGAATCACCAACTAAAATCTGTTTTTTTTAAAGATAATTCTCCAAGTCAGAAATTTAGTAACTATGTTGGCAGCACAAGCCTTTTCTACATAAAAAAAATTGAACGATTGACAATTTTACATTGTATTGCCAAAATGATGTCATTTTGACTTTTATCTTTAAAAAAAAAACAGATTTTAGAGAGCGTGCAATGATATTCGACAACATAATACTGACTGACAAAGGTAGCTCTTTGTCAACTGTCAGTTGTGGCTGGAATACTCTAACCTTCTTCAACTCAAATTCTATACCTATCTGTTTTCCTTATCATAACCAAGAAGGTATCCTTTGATTGCCTTTCTGTAAATTCTGCTTGCCTTTCTGTCTATTTTGTTTCGGATTTGCACCGGAATTGTGCATAGCAGGTTAAGCCAATAGTTCAGAAGTGATTCATTCTTGGTTTCTTGTTCATCTATAGTTCATATGGAAAGTTCCTATTCTGTTGAGTACATAAATAGTTGTATCGACAAATTCAGCCCATAAAGATTGAGGAAATTCTACTTCAGGATTTTAGTATTTGAAGTAGGTCCTTGCCATTTCATTGCGATTTTCTTGTTCACTTGAACCATTTTGTTCAGGAGTGTATGGATCAGTTAACCTATAATTCCTTTTTTGCGTAGTTTGGTTTCAATTTCTTTATTATCAAATTCTTCACCATTGTCACTGACACTAAGTAGCTCTCTTATCTTATATCCTTGGTTGGAAGCATGGACGAACAATTTTCGCCTGACTTTTTTTTTAAAGATATCCATATCGAAACTCAGTATAATACTCTTCAAAACTGAGCAAATACATTTTCTTTTGCTATGACACTTCAAATGTTCCAAAAATATGGGTTGTCATTATAGTTCAACTGTAAAATAACGAACTACCATCATTTTCTGTAATTTTTTAGAAGTTGTATCGTCTGTTATATAATTTACAGTGTGTTCAATTTCAATGGCATGCAGACTTTTCAATTGAAATTGATGGAAAATTTTCTTGCCTCGACTAGGATTTGAACTCAGGACCCTCGTTTTCTAATGTAACACTCTAACCAACCGAGCTACCAAGACCTGTTTCATTTCTACCTTATCGATCAAGTCTTTCATCAATTTCAAGTTGTTAGTTGTGAAGACCATCGGCAACCTTCGGTAGTTACCGTTGGTATAGAAGTGAGTTAGAAGGTATGGGGAACACATTCGCAATTAATGGTTATTTGGAATCCATTATCCCTTTAACCACGGATGCGTTGTCGACATATAGCGACATCAGCATGTATCGGGATGAGACGCCCAACCATCAATATCAAGCCAATAATTTTAAAATTTTTCAGAAGTTTTATCGTCTGTTATATAGTTCACAGTGTGTTCAATTTTAATGGCAATTTTCATCAATTTTAATTGAAACGTCTGTATGCCATTGAAATTGAACACACTGTAAATTTTCTGTAATGTAGATCTCAACCAGATCTGCTTCTGGTTCAAGACTCAACGGTCCAATGTCACATTTAAATAGTGTACCTCCAACTTGTATTGTTCCTGTTTAAATAATAATGTCTCTCTTAAGCTGCCAATAAGGAGAACAAATTTAAAGAAAGAGTCTGCTTTGATGTTCGCAGAGAATTTGAAATCTTGATGAGTAATAAAATACTCTGTAGTATTGACCACGTGTCTTGTTGCTCCATTGTCGATCCACTATGCATTTTTATCATAATTGACTATATAAGCTTTTTCTGAAATTATCATAAGTGCAACATTGTCATCTTGTTGGCTAGATTGTTTAAATTCTTTGGAGGTCGGCCATCAGCTATCCATTTTGATCACACACGTAACCAGTGACCTTTGCCTTTACAATAGTGACATATTACAGGTCTCTTCGAAAGTTTCTGAAGTACTGTCTTTTACTTTTGTCAAAAATTTCTTTCAAAACTGCAAAGCTGAGAAGCTTGTTAGTTGAGACCTTTTTCTGTATCTTTTGTTAACAGCATCCAAGTAGGCTTGAAATGTTCGTCCTGACTTGATTATATCTGGCAGTTTAGTTAAATTCTTTTCAACAAGCCCATTCACATTATTTAAAATTCATTTGAGTCTTGCAAACCCAGTGTATTGACACATCTTTTCCAGTGAAGACAACCAATTGAAAGAGACAAAATCTGCGCATAGTCCAAACAACTGGTTTTTAGACGACGATTTAGGAGTGCTAACCAAGCCTCATATGCTGACTCTTTATTATTTCCTGATAAACCTTTATCGCTCACAGCAGTGGTGATGATGCTCTTGACTTAACTATTAAATTTTCTATAAAAATCCGTTTTTACTTTGTATCCTTTCTGGGTCCTTATTCTTGAAATAGGGGAGCAACATTTCCAGGAGAACGAGTGTTCCTTCTTTGTTACTTATATTATCATTGAGAAAGACGGAACACTCGTTCTCCTGGGAACACTGCAACTCTTCAAGAATAAGGACCCAGATCTTTATCACATGCCACAAACTGGGGTAGGTTTAATAGTACGGGATACGAGGCCTATTTCATCAAATCATTTTACACCGTCTTGCATTGTTATCATCAGTTAGATAACATGATGCTGAAACGCACCTGTACGGGGAAATAGATGGGAGTGGGAGATTTCGCTGAAAAAAAATTTCCAGAAAATGTCGTCATAAACAGGGAAAATATATAATTATACACCGTCTTGCATTTATTTATTGAGTTAATTTGTACACAAACAAAATTGGATCAACACATGCAAGACGTTTTCATGGAGGTTTTGGGGTTGTTATATTGGATAGAAATTGTCAATTTTTCAGAGGGGTGAAATATCATTTCACACCACTTCATTATTGATTTAGATTAAAGCTTGAATGTAGAATTGCCACTGGATACTGATGCAAGACGTCCTGTGGAGGGATAACGGACTGCAAGACGGAGGTCAATGTGTTGTCTTATGAAGGAGTGAGAAATCATTTTACACCGTCTTGCACTGATACTAATGGGAAAAACAGAACACATTGATAACATTTTAAAAAATACAAGACGTTCTAAATGGAAAGAAAGGACTGCAAGACGGTGATGAAGTTGACTAATTTTGACGGGGGTAAATCCATCAGGTACAAATGTGAATACTACTCTAAATTACAAATTACGCACAATAATTTTAGATATTTTTGCTTTTACCACGTAGAATAATTCTATTTTGCAAAATTCTCTTAATATGTATATTTGAATGACTCTACGGACATCAAAAAAAAAAGGTTGAAAATTGTTCTTTTTCTGACAGCTTATAATCATTTTATTTTTTTTTTGAGGTGGATATGTCATAACACCTAACGGATTGTAAGTAGGTATTAGGTAAATTTGAGAAATTTGATTTTAAAGCAGCAAAAAAATGATCTGCCTGGAATTGTAAACAGAAATTATAATTCCTGTATTCAGCAGACTCCCCTGTTGAGCTGCTATGTCAACTGTCCTTTTCCATCTGTATGATTTAGAAAAGAATGAACAGTGAACGGTTCAGTAAATAACTCAAAAGTTCAGTAAAAAAAGAAAACGGATTTATTAACTTTTTTCCCCGAAAAAACGTCTTGGACTGATGTATTACCATTTTTTAACATATATTCTTCCGGCGGACATAAGCATGAAGTGGTGTAAAATAAATTTTCACTCCCTCATGAGACAACGCATTGACATCCGTCTTGCAGCCCGTTATCCCTCCACAGGACGTCTTGTATCAGTATCCAGTAGCTATTCTACATTCAAGCTTTAATCTAAATCAACAATGGAGTGGTGTAAAATGATTTTCCACCCCTCTCACAAATTGACAATTTCCATCTTCTATTGCAACCCTAAAACCCCCATAAAAACGTCTTGCATGTGGTAATTCAATTTTGTTTGTGTACAAACTGACTCAATAAATAAATGCAAGACGGTGTATAATTATATATTTTCCTAATTTATGACGACATTTTCTGAAACATTTTTTTCAGCGAAATCCCCCACTCCCATCTATTTCCGTGCACAAGTGCGTTTCAGTACCATTTTATCTAACTGATGATAACAATGCAAGACGGTGTAAAATGATTTGATGAAATAGGCCTCGTATCCCGTACTATAACAAGCGTACCTTAAATAACATCTAAACATCCTCCATGATTGTTTTCCCACATTGGCCAATCTACTTCTCGCACTGCATACTAAATCCATTTTCATGCAATTTTTGATAATTCATTTTTATGTAAGCTAAAAGGATTTTTGTCGCTATTTACCACTTGATTACTACTACTAGATCTTCTTTAGATAATGCACATTTCTGGGCCCATAACCTCCTAAAATATATACTCTTTAACACTTCAAAAGTAGGCAGAACTTATGTGATAAAATCGACGTTTATTATAATATTTATTACTGAACTATCATCAAACTTAAAACTGACATCTTTCATATTAGAGGTCAACATGAGGTTAACTTTATAATGTGAAAACTTACTCAACATAGTAAATATTTATCTTCAACAAATGAAAGCACAATGAGCCAAACTGAATATTTTTTTCAGAATCCACCACTGAAACCCTAGAAGAAGAAGTCAAACTATTTTTGAGGCGTTTGACGAAACTCGAAGGATTACTCAAAGAGCTTTACATGAAATGCAGCAGCAATAATGAAGCCAACAAGATTTTACAGCTCATGGAGAAATGCTCGAAGCTTTTCGAAGCAGTTAACAGCGACAAATCTCTAAGTGCAGGTGGAAGATTTGAGTGGGTTAACTCGATTTTGGTAAAGGTAAGAGACTTTATTGATAGGTAGAAAGAAGCTGACTTTATTGAATTGGATTTATGTAAAGCTGCGAATTCACTTCAGACTTTTACAATATTTTGCCTTTGACTTGGACTTGAGAAACTTTGTTTCCCTTTCCACTCATCGAGCGATGTTTAACAAATTCAATAAACTGTCATTACATTCGCTGACTTGACAGACCTCCGACATTCTTCCGAGTACAGTTTCACTGCTTCTGACGGTTGGAATCAGCTCACTGTCTTTCAAGAGATTGCTGTAATCTTCAACAAAATTAGGGAGAATCGACAAAGTGCCTTTGGTTTGCGGTTGACGTATAGTATTTGTAATACCCATTTAGAATAACCCCATCCTTATTTATCAATCACGGATCAGATGAAACAAAAAATTACCAACAAAAACGAACGTCGATTGCTAATACGTCAATTTCATCTACAAATAAGAAATTCCTAACCTAATTTTATTTGTATGTCAAGAAGCGACATACGTTTTGTCACTAAAACGACAGGTACTTCTAAATAGGTATTAAAAATACTTTATTTACGACTAATGTATAATGTGCGTATTATATTTGTGATTTTGGCAGTATAATGACATATGTTATTCCTCCAGGGATTAACGACGAGTAGCGGGATTAATGGTCATTATTCCACAAAAGTGTCAGTGTCAAACGTGTAGTGCTTGTGGATTTGTATTGAAAATTATGAGACGGATGAAATTTGTTCATTGAAAATCTCAAATAAATTAATTTGTCGTAAATAAAGTAGAGTATACTACTCGCAATAATGGCTATTATTCCCTCGGAATGTTACTCCCTCGCCGCTAACGCGGCTCAGTTCGTATAATAATAATCCTCGGGAATAATAGCTATCATTATTGACTCGTGGTATAATCTACTATTACTAAGCAACCAAGGCTTATGTGGGCGTTTTTGAAGTGACCATTTCCTAGGCTGAAGCACCCATTTCTCGCTCTTTCATGGTAAATGACATGTTCGGAAAATACAAGTTTTTACCCGAAACTCCAAACTCTCATACAATGAGTTGTATTGTTCTGGTCGCAGCCAGTTTACACAATACTTGTTTAAAGAAGCTCTAACCGGTAAAAGCTTAGGTGACCCAAAAACTTCAAACTTATTATGAGTAAAACTATGAGTAAAACAAATACTATTTCTGTTTCTCTCCGTATTCTTTCTCATTTTATCGACATCAACACCAGTCGTCGCCGCCAAAATAGCTGCAATAAAAAAAAACATGACACAGTTTAATAGACAAAAGTTCTCAAAGGTTGTTGTTCTCTTTCAGTGTTTACAGGAAGGGTCCTGGCTTCTCGTCGATAACGTAAATCTGTGCAGCGCTGCAGTTTTGGACCGACTCAACGCCCTGCTGGAACCGAACGGCGTACTTACTATATCCGAAAAAGGTGTAGACGAAAATGGGAAAATGTTCGAGGTCAAACCTCATAAAGATTTTCGAATTTTCTTGACGATGGATCCGAAAAACGGAGAAATATCGAGGCAAGAATTTTCACGTCAACTAAATTTATATTAATTTAATTTTTACTAATTATTTTTAGAGCGATGCGCAACAGAGGAGTGGAAATTTACATGCCGAACGAAACTGAAACTCAATATTCAAATCAATTTGACATCAAAAGCCTTATAGAGTTTGAAGGTCTTTCAAACAATAAACACATTAACGCTTTACTCAAAATCCACGAATTTATTTCAAGCGTAATATTAAGTGACAAGCCTGGAAATATGGACCTTATACAATGCTCATCGTTAATTGCCCAACAAATAAGACACGGCATTAATATATCTGAGGCTTTTTACAATACTTGCATTGAAGTTTATTATAAAACTAGAAACTCGTCAGAGTTTAATTGCAATAATATTTTGGAAGTTATCCAAGAAGAAATTAATAGAAGTCTCTTGGAGTCTGATTGTGGAAGTTTTTTTAATGCCAATGTGACGATGTGTACTAAGGATTTAGTTAGGTGGTCGAATTTTGAGAAAATCAAACATCAGTCAGCCTTATATGATGTAGCTGTCAAGCAGTTTAACGAAAATGCTAAAAATCAAACTACTACAGCAAATATACCTCCTGTTTTAGTTAAATACGTAAAAGCAAAAGACCTAACTATATGGTCTGACTTAGAAAGTGTCAAACAACAAAACGACTTTTTTGACAATATTAACTTTTATACTATAGCCAACTTATTATCGATCAACTACAGCTTGAGCACTAATGACGATATCAACTATAGAACTGCCTATTTGAAAAGCATTATCGCCATTCCATGGCAAAACATCCTAGAGAGATTCCATAAAACAATTAAATTTTTTGACAATAAAAATCCTCATTTGCCGTATGACGGAAATTGGATCAATGACGATTTGAAGAATACATCTGTAAGTCTGGCTTTGCAAGTGGAGATTTACAAATTGAAAGATCTATTTGAGCTCAAATATTCCTCACGAAAATCCTTACATCAATATTTGTTGGCCATCAAAAAGAAAGAAGTGTCTGATATATTCAACAGTCCGATATGTTCTAGTTTCATTAATCTCCGTTCGGAACATTTTATTTTTATGAAGCAATTGGCTGTGTCTTTTGCACAATTGAGTAATTTTGAAAGTGCAAATGTTTTCGTCAAAACTTTAGAGCTGCTGAGTTGGCGTCAAGCTCTGCACAGCTTTCTGACTAGCGTACGAGTGCCCGATGGTGGACTGAAATCACCCAAGTCGCTCGAGAGTAAGCTGGATACTTTGGCTTTGTACTACAAGTGGTTTTATAAGTATTCGGTGGAAGAGGTTGCCAAGCTTTTCAATGCAAAGGTAAGTGGATTAGTTTCTATTTTTTGTTGAAAATGTTTAGAAATTTGATGGGGTTTCACATTGAGCCCAATGGCAAAGTTGTTGATATTTGCGTTTTTCAATATTTTACTTACCTTAATGCCAATTATAATATGTTCAACCACTCAGTTGTCCTAAAGAGGGCTTTAAATGTGGGTCAAAAAAGTCTCATGCCACCAAGTTCTGACACATAAAATTTAAACAGGGTAATAATCAATAATGATAACTCACTGCTATAGTTGTGATTACCTAATGTAGAAATACTCCAGTAATTACGTTCTGTAAATTGCCTTTAGCTGGAAAAAATTGCGGAAGTTTTGATATTTGGAGGTGTTATGTACTTTTAACTGATCTTTTCGATTTTTTATTTTGCCACCTCCTAACTTTGTCGCCATTGCCACTATGTTGAATAAATTGTGTAAAAATTGATTTTTTCAAGACTCGCGTCTTGTATAGTAAAAATCATAATAAGTATACTAAATTGAAGTAAATAATTTTCTCTATAAAATTAGTTCTTATTGTTTTTTTCTATAAAACTGTTTCATATTGTAAATAATGTAAAATGCTTATCTTCCCATCACCTCGAGGCTTGAATAGAGCATACGGTGCAGTTTTTCTGTGGTTTCCCCAGTAGGCCTAATCCACATATTGGTTGCTAGATTAAAATTACCATTTTTGTCCCTTTGAAGGCAACAATCCTTAAGATTCGTAAGGGATCACTGGCGCAGTAGATTCTGCCGCAACCGAATCAGTTTCATTAAACATTGGTTCTGATATTAGTTGTATTCCTTTCAGACCTAGGAGGAGCTCCGCTCCGGGGCGTTACGCGCTTATTCCTTTCGAAAAGTGTCTGTTGCAACACGCATCTTTTCCTTCCAAATCAAGGGCGACTAACACCGACGCGAGTGTTCCAAACTCTTGAAAGGAATACAACTATTGTATCGCAGTCTTCGTCTTCATCCTCCTTACTATCTTCCAGAACTTGAGGCATGTTATCACAGTTTGATCAAATTATGAATCAGTTAAGACCTGATTTTCACCTACATGCTCCTTGACATCTCTTTTGCATTTGCAAGAGACTAGTCTTAGAAGAATTTCTGGAGCAGCAGCCTTGAGTGTAGTTAACGGGGCAAGACCATTTTTATCCTTTTTTTAACTGCATTGTTCTGCATGGAGGTTTTTTGCTACCAATCCATTGCTTGAAGATGAGTTCGGAAATAATGTTGTCTTGCTGCTGCTTTTGTAGGAGGGAAGCAATGAGGCGATGTTAAATTTATTTCTGGAGACTGATTTTATAACGCACTGGTGCTTTGTGATTATTTTTGTTGTTTGTTGTTATAGGCATAAAGTCTGAGAAAGAAGTATTGTCACAACCCCTATACGTTTCGTCTTCTCTTGTCTCTCCATCAATAAATCTCCAAAATTCTCTATACTTTTTTCTGTCCCACACTTTTCCGCAGCTTCCTCCCTAAGGTCTACAGCCCCCGTGCACAGGAAGATTGTGTGCGGGTGTGTCCTCTTGTTCGCAAAACCAACATCCGTCCTTTCTAATCTTCTTCAGGTAGCCCTGTCATCACATGATTCCTATAGCCAATCTTCTATTCACCCTTTCTAAAGTCCTGAAGTGATTTTTATATTTTATCGCAGACTCCCATATCGGTGCAGCGTACAGTATTGCAGAGGTCACTGCGCTAGCTACAATCCTTCTCTTGTTGCTTTTTGTCCTCCAATCTTTGGCATTATCCTTATAAATAAGTTTAGCATCCTGTTGGCATTTTCTGCTATTTTTTTAACATATGTGGTCATCCTCAAGTCCTGGTCAAAATAAACTCATAGGTACTTTACCGCCCTATGGCTCTGTATTATGTTGTTATTCAAGTTGATTTCGGCTTCTAGCACCTCCCTCCTCTTGGCCATAATGAGCATCTCAATTTTCCTAGTTGCGACAGATATTTTCATTTCTGTGAGCCTTTTGGTCAACTTCATGGCTGCGTACTGTGCATTGTTCTTGTCCTCTAGTTCTGTTCATGTTTTTGCTCTCATCACGATAGCAATATCGTCTGCTTATGCGATCAGCTTTACGCCTTCCTCTGTTTCGATGCCTAGGATCTGAAGCCGGATTCCGAACTCACGATTCGATAGTATCGTCTATCTTATTTTATATGGACGATACTATCGAATCGTGGATTCGGAATCCGGGCCGGTCATAGAAAATGTTCCATAATAGAGGTTTTATAATAGATCCTTGGGGCAACCCGCATGTAATCTCGTGTGTTTTGTTGTTTGGCGCTCTGATAAGTATGAGTTGATTATCGCTCTCAGATATTTGCTGACCCTTCCGTCCTTTATGGCCTTTCTGATGTTGTCTCATGAAGCTGAATTGAATACGTTTTGTATATCCAGTAATATCATGACGCAGAAGTCACGATTTTTCACCGCTTTGCTGTTGATGTCTACCCATATGTTTTTCACGCATTTGTGGGCGTCAATGGTCGATTTCCCTTTTCTGAAGCCGTACTGGTTTTTGCTTATCGTGTTCTTCTCATGCGTTTCCTTCAGAAGTCTGTTTCGAATTAGTATTTGGAGCAGTTTTTTTTTTTACTATTGCCAGTCTCCCTCTTCAGTTGCCTTTTGGCCTCCTCTCTCCGTTCTTCCAGTATGTTCTCATTGTTGGTTTCTCCTCGCGCCCTTGTAAGCTCTCTTCTGCGGCTGTTGAACACTTTGCGTTTCTCCGCAATTTCTTGATTCCATCAGTGAACTGTTTTGTGCTTGACTGTTCTTATTCCTGCTTTCGTAAAGTGATTATTGCACATCTTCTTGATATCCCGTTTCGTCCCAGGATGTCACAACAGGAGCGTGACCTAGGGGCGTAGGTGGGGTTCAGGTAGAGAGTACTACTTAGGCCACTCTGTAGACTGTAGATTTTATACACTCTGTACACTTGGCGTCACTGAAGACTGAAGCTGGGTTTGAGACAGGTCCAGAATGGCGTTTCCCAATAAAAGTAGTTTGCACCGGACCTAGTCTGCTGCGTTCAATACTCCCATAAGGGCGTTTCCCAATGAAGGTAGTTACACTGGGAAGAGACTTAGCTAGAGGGGCTTTTCCCAATTGAGGTACTTTGCACTAGCCTCAGCTAAACTCTCGCCACTCAACGCGCACCGCTCATTGCTCGCCAATGTGCACGCAGCCTTAGTCTGCCGGTAATGGATCTCGGCGCGGTATTTATACCAAATTAATCCTGACTCGTCAACACACTTTATTAAAATTGATGTCGGAGTGATATTTACTTGAGTAGTTGACAGTATTCTCCAACTTTAGCTATAACTTCTTTGTATTGGCATCCTTATTTTCCTTTAGCACTTTTAAAACTTCGTCAAAATTGGGTGCATTCGCAACACATTAAAAACATTTGAGTTTGCTCAGTTAAAAATAGAAGACGTCGTGTCGCAGCTGCTGAATGCGTGCAAGAATAGTATGTTTTCCGTGGAATCTTCCTTTCGCTGGTTTTAAAAAAATAAGTTTTCTTGTATTAATATTCCTGTCAGAATGACGAAATGATCAATGTCTTTATCAACAACTATCACATATTCAAACATATTGAACATACTTATTGCTGTGTTTATTATGAGCCTGTCCACATCTTTCGTGGCTTAGTTGGTTGGTTGGGATGCATAATGAGCAGACCGGGTTAGGTTGCCCTAACACTGTAGCCGTCGGCTTATTGTATTGTCCTGTCGTCTGTTTAGTCACTGAAAAGTTTCGTGACCTTGATTAGGTTTAGGAGCCCCGGTCTTCACGGTGTGGCTTTTGACGAGTTTAGAGATAGGATCTTCTGGCCCTGTATCTCCACCAACTTAAAGCCTCACATTCGAAGACTATGTGGGTGGCGGTTTCATCCTCCTCGTCACAGAGTCTGCATACGGGCTCTTCTTGGAGTATGCCCATTGTGTGAAGTTGTTTTCTCAGGCCACAGTGTCCGGTTATAAGTCCAGTTATTAGCCTGATTTGATTCCTGATAAGTTGTGGGATCTCTTCCGTAAGTTTGATGGTTGTTGTACCATAAGCTTACTGTGCTTCGGAAGAGTTTACCAGTGAGTTTGGTATTGCCTATACACCTATCGGTTTATTTTTGTTTTTAACGAAGATTTTGTGTTGCTAATTCCTGGTTCAAAACCAGTATAAGTGGTTGCTGATCGTTCCCGTGCCAGAACATCTACTTTTTTCATTTCCTTCAATTCCTTTATGCCCTGGCACCTATTTAAGGGTTTCCTTTCCGGCCGTACCTAGGTTTTTGAGGTTTTCCTAGCATTCCCAGACAAGTTTTGATTTTATTCCGCAACTGTTGACCTAATCGACGCTTGACGGTTTGAGCAGATAGGTGAGGATATTTTTACCTGTGTATCCCCTCCTTATAGGTTTTCTCTCAGATTTGAGTCGATGGAATTTCATCCCTACTTGTTATACAGTGGTATATCCTCCTAGAGTCTAGAGGTTATCTGATGTCGCATATAGAAGTTTGTCCATATATTCCAGTGCCGATTTCAGTTCCTGTTTTGGAGCCTTCAGTAAACCAGAAAATTTCTTGTTTAGGTGTTAACCTGGTGCTTCCTACTGGAACAATCTCGGCGAAGGGGTTTTTCCAGGGATTTTTTCGGCATCATATAGTCGCTTCCCATGGTTAAAATCGGGTTTGTGATTATTTTAGTGATTGCCGTATTTCTATTTGGTTTTGAGTTGCAGTTTTCGTTCAGCTGGAGACGATATGCCCTGATTCTAGCCTCCGCTTTAACGATAAGGTCAATTGGTTGGAGGTTTAGGATCGTTTCCATACTTGCCGTCGCTGTGCTTTCCTGTGTAACAGTGATACAAATCTCTGGATTTTGGCTAGCTCCAGATTTGGTGGTCTTCCCTTTACTTTAGGCCACCATACAAGTGCACCCATTGGTCTTACAACCGTAATGTATTTCCAATCTATATCCGAGGTTGTAAAAAAATATAGAAATTCAAAATTACTCTCTTCGCGCCAAAACGCAGCCTAATCAATGACGTAATAAGACGGTATTCGTCAAAACGAGTCTCGGTACTCCCTCTCTCTCTCTCTCTTACTACGTAATTTTCCATTAACTAAACAAAGATACTGTTACGTCAATAGACCTATCTATTTTTACCTGTATGCGCGCGCAATACGAGGCAATCAGGCAATGCATTTTTATTGGCTAACTAGTACAGGTGTGAAGTAATCCTTTTGCACGCTGGGTATCTCTTGGTCCTTGTTTATTGCCCGTGGTCTGACAAGGATAAAATTATGCTTGATATTCAACTTGACGCAGCTTGACAAGTGATCGATTTTCAATTGTTTGTGTTTTTGATTGACAAATACATTGCACATCACGCGGTTTTCCTCCTTCCTTTTTTATCCCGTGCAAATAATAAGAACGGATTATTATACGTAAGTCTAACATAATTTGGTACGTTTTGCCTCGTCTTGCGCAATAAGCGTTCTGCGTCTTTTTCTATCTAATAAAGTTCTCGTATTATTACCTCTCTGTCTGGTAAAATAGATAGGTCTATTCTCTTCCAGTGAACTCACACCTGACAAGACTCACACCCTATACATTAAGAGAGAGAAAGATATAGTGTAGTAATGATAGTAACAAATATATATGATTAAATAGGTTATCTTTGTTTAGTTAATGGAAAATGACAATGATCGACATACAATAATGAATCCATCGGTAGAATTCGATGTAAACACAAGCGTCTGACGGCTCACGTATCAAGTTAACATACCTTGCGTTCGGTATTTTGCTCGAAGAGCAGAGCGTGCAGAGCGGAGCCGTAATCACGTGACCAGCGAGCGAACAGAGCAGTTGAACGCTGTATAAAAGTGCCAGAAATTTTAATAAACGAACGCGAATGAGGATACACCGAGTACACTTTTTGAATAAACGAACGGTAAAGTCAAGCTCGGAGAACTCAGACCAAAATAACGAACGCACGGATAACCACACTTTTCTTTGTTTACCGTTCCATGACGTCATAACCAGTTTGAGAGCGTTTTCGCGCCCTTTGTTATATTCAATATTTGAATAATTAATTATTTATTAGTGGTTCAGTATAAAGAGGATTTGAATGTGGAAATATACTTCTAGAGTATTTTGCTTCAATTTAAATACATTTTGTAATAAAATTTTATGCAACTTCCCCATTGCTCTTTTTAGTGACATCAACGTCATCTTGCTTTTGGTGGTTATCTTTTGAATGTGTTGATTCCATGTCAGCTTCATATCTAGGATGACGCCCAGGAATTGAGCTTCTCTACTAAACTCCAAGGTTTTTTGAAAAAGACTGGGGTGTATTAAGCTCTCCAGATTTTTTTATTTTATTTTTTCGTGAAAGGAATGAGATTTCTGTTGGAAGGGTTGACACGAAGTTGCTGATGGCGAACGAGGGCACCATGATTCCTCAATGATTCCTTCGTTTCTTCCTTCACCTGCATTATATTAGCAGCTTCAAATTTTTTCTTCGATAGTGCACTCAAACGATTTTTATTTTTATCGTTACTTAAGAACTTATGTCGTGATACGATCGGAATCACGCCTCATCTAACAATATTTCTAATGGAGCATGCAAGCGTGATCCTCGTGAATATCCATGAAATATGACGTTGCATTAGTTCCATTAATGTGTCTCTACCATTCCAGACAACGCGATCCAATAAATATCCTCTATTTATGATATGCATAAGGTTTCTAAAAACAACATTTGTAGTACATTCTTGAAAAGCTGTATAAATGGAAGACTTTACGCCTTCGCGCATCATGCATCCTCCGTTGAAAAGTGATAATGGGAATGGAGCAAGCTCGTACGAAAGGTATGATAGCACATTCTTTGAAAATTCGAAGAAGGATTCTTATATACCTCATTCTGTAAACGTACACCTGTATTCATAATAGCAAGAGGCTTCACTCTTTACTGTGTCAGATCGCTTAAATTTTACAATCTGAAAGTCAAGATCGCTAATCCTTAAGACATCCTTAGTACCGCTCCTGTTCTTGTGCTAAAATTTCAATTACACACACTACATTCAATCATCAACACCTATAATCAATACTGAAGAGTTGTTGTTAGTTAGCCCATCTGCGGCAGGTACTGAGGTCCCTGGTTACGGTAAATCCCATCTATAGTTGTTTTTGAGCCAATATCTCTAGATTGATTAATTCAATTTGCTAGGATATTCTCTCGTCAGGGTAGGAAAATGTTAGTAAATTCAACAAGACCCTAACGCACGCTCTGAATACACAAAATCGAAATCTCAGCACAAAAAAAAAACAGCACATAATTTCTGGGGTTTTAATTTACTTCTTTATCTGCGTTGTTTACAGCATGAAACGATTGTTGTTAAATACATGTTATAATAGTTATTTATACACCAAGTGAATTAAATGAATGTTTTTTCATGAGAAGAAAGTTTAACCCACGAGCCCTAGAGTGGGTTAGTTTTCTTCGAATGAATAAACATTTTAACTCACGTGAAGTATACAAAATTTTATCCCATTTTGTAGAAATTTGGAAAATAAAGAACAAGGAAAAATGCTGAGAGTGAGTTAAAAATATTTCAAATCACTGGGGTGTTTGAGTTTTAATTGGGCAGAGTAACTTAAAATACCGAGAGTGAGTTAAAAAATCGTTAAATCATTGAGGTGATAAACGTCTACTTACCTTTATTGTTATGCGTTCAATAATGTCATTTTTAAACGTCAAAATGGGATACAAATTATTATAAACAAACAAAAAATACATAAAAATGTACAAAATGATAGGTACTTATATAAATTGAACTCTCAAAAACAAAATAACATTTAATCAACTAACCTGTGAACGCCTCTTACACACACACTAATAACAAATTGGATTGGACAATCAATTTTAATAAAAATTGAAAATGAATAATTACAGACACGCGTCTGAAGGACCCGCCCAGCTTATTCTCCAGTCTCTCTAATGCCTCATCGCCTCTTCTCTACCTCCTATTCGGTTTGGTACCCTTTCAGTACGCTTCACGAGGCATAGAAGGTTGCAACATTTATTTTTATTCAGTAAACGTTTTTTTAAAAAGTTAAGATTCAAAGGAATAATATTTTAAATAGGTGGTTTTCCTCAGTACAGTTGGAGAAGAGATCTCGCCACCTCTACGTAGATTCGTAGCTATTAATTTCTCATTATTATAGTGCTTCCTTCGCCAATCGTGAACTGCAGTTGACGGTCTTCCTCTTAGAACCTTCATTTTGCCGTCTTTTTTTTGAGACTGGACTGACGAAAAGTCTCTAGATGTCTCTTCTCTTTTAGCAGAATTGCTTCAATTTTAATCAAAATACTCTGTCACAAATGAAACACTTTGTTTCTGCGCTTTCCATCATAATTTACAACACAAAACGCACACAAATGAAAACAAAAATTTACTGCCGGTACGGTCGCACTCAATGCGTACTTGCTCAACTCTGGAATGCTCGTACTGTACTTTAAAATTGTTGGTCTTAAGAAAAAAAATGATAGGGACATATTTGGTAGAGAAACATATCTACTTTAATTTACTACAAAATAATTTTTACTGTTAAACATATCTTTAAAAAATCCTTTTTTTTGCGATTTATCACAATACAGCAGCGTTGGCGGCAAAGATACGAGGTGGCAAATCAAAAATTTGATAATAGAGTTAAAAATACATAAAATCACCAAATATCCAAACTTTTCCTGGTAAATATACGTAGTAACTGGACTATGAAGACAAGTATTATAAGTACATGTATTATAAAACAGTCGTGGATAAAAATACCTTTATCTTGATTAAATTCTTACTTTTGACGGAAACGGAAGTATCGGTAATGAACTTGTACTACTTTGCTGATTGATCCTTTCGATTCGAAACACTGACTGAATTGAAATAGGCTTTCAGCATGCATAATGGAACTTATTCGGGAACATAAAAGGGTTTTTAGCCTTATCAGAAAGTCAGATCAGGAACATTATAAGAGAACCTAGTGAATGAATCAAATGACTAATGAGACTCTATTTCTTTAAGATCGAGTGGCTTTCGTTAAATCTTAATTTTCGTAAAACTAATTATTTACCATCACAGAATTCTGAATTCAACTAGATTTCACAAATTGAATCAATATACTTACAAAATTACAAAATGTAGATCGTAGTTCATTAAATTATTAATTAAGATTTACAAGAAGTACTTGGATGTAAAATGTAATAAAGGATGTGTATTTGTTGATTCTAAGTTTAATTTTTCTGAAGCATATCAAAAATGTATAACTGTTTTTGCCTTGCTAATTTATCCGCATATAAATTTTACTTAATTATTGTACATTTTTCAGGTTCCTGAAAAATTGAACTCCATCGTCACTCACATCAACAAAAAAAGTAAAGAACAATTTTCGAAAAATTACAAAACCGCCAAAAACTACAAAAAACTCAACAACGTACCGGAATTTTTCACTTCAGAAGATCAACTGACAGCATTAGATCTACTGGAATCCTACAACCTGTACGACTACGAATCTAGAAACAAATCAGCAAAAACCATAGCCTATTTCAAAAAAACTGGAGATTACAGAAGCTTTTTAGTTGAACTAAAAGACGCATTATATTCTGAATTAGAGCTAAATAATGTGGAAAAAATTCTAAAACCATTTGTAGAAAATTGCATCTTAAAAGTACAAGAACAAGAAATCCTGCCATTAGTGGACATTTTAACGCAAACGCTTTTACTCCAAGTAATTAGAGCCATTGAATCGGGCGATAATTTCGAATTGGATTCACTGAATAACAACGTGCTCGTTCCGATCGAGTTGAACGGAATTTTATCGAGATATAAAAGAACTGGCGATCCGAAGCTGCTGCACGAAATTAAAAGACATTTTTATCGGACCGCAGCGAATTCGCCCAGTGTCAAACCAATTGAATTGTCCGATGATGTGGATATGATTACTGTGTCCGTTGCCGGTGCTGGACCGGTGATTTTACGCACCGTTACTAAATTGCTGGTGCATTTGGATGGAGAAAGTGTGTCTTTGAGGAGTTTCAGAGCGGTGCAAAACCAGCGCAAGTTTATGTCTAGGCTTTTGTGGAGTAATATGCACGCAATGGCCAGTGAGAAATTCGACTTTTTGTAAGTATGAAACTATGCAGCGGCAGAAATTTTATTTGGAAGTATGAGAAAATACTAACCATAAGATTTTAATTAATTCTTTCTCTCTATATCTTCTCAAATATGTACAAAATGATTCAGAGTGAATTTCGCTTTTCGAGCGCGCCCTATATATCCTGTTCACAATCCGATGTCCACAGGTGCAGGTAAATTTATCACCTTTCCCTATCAAATAGCATTGAAAGGTGATTTTACCTACCTGTGGACATCGGATTGTGAACGGATAATACATCCAACTTAACATTTGTGGGGGGTAAACAACGTATGAAGACCGTGGTAAAGACGAAGGAAGGACCACACAAAAGGGAGACATGCATCTGTAGGGACGTCACAAAGGTATCGGCGCTTGACAATAATAGTTTATAATCCTTAATTTGTGCGTCAATCGTTCGTCGGCTGTCATTGTCATTAGCTGTTTCTCTCCGTCCCTCTACATTATTTTTTTTTTCTCTCTCATAGAACGAAATTTGCCAAAACTTGACGTGTCTTTCAGATCACTCTCCATTCTCGTCCAAATATCAGACCGCCGCCTAAGAAGTTTCACTTCAAAAAATCGAGTTTTCATAAGGGTACCCCCTCTGAATTCTGATTTCAAAATCTTTAAACCTTCATTGCTCGGTAACCGTTGAGCAAATTGCTTTGAAATTTTCAGCATTTGTAGCTCTTATTAAGCTCTAAATGGCCTGTAAATTACAATATTCCCAGATTTATAGTTTTTGAGCAAATTGAGTTTGAAGTTTTTGACAAAATTTAGACTAAAAGTCAACTTTGAGACTCAATTGCTCAAAAACCTTTTTGAACTATCAATCTCAATTTTACACAGATTTATAGAGAATTAATGCTCTTCCCAATTAGGTATATATAATTTATTCGAATTTGCATAAAATTTATTAAAAATATGGGCAATTGTTCATGATCATGTCAAGATTTTGAAAATTTTCCAAAGCCAAAATTAGGATTTTCTTTTTCTTTTTGTTCCTGCTTAAAATGACCATTTGGAATTGATGTCAGGGTTGTTTTCCACTAATTCGGACCCGCTCTATTGATTGAAAAATTGAGCAGAGCTGGAAAATAAAAAAATCGAGTTTTTCGTAAGGGTACCCCCTTTGAATTCTGATTTTAAAATATTCATACCGCAAATGCTCGATAACCATTGAGCAAATTACATTGAAATTTTTAGAATTTGTAGCTCTTATTTAGCTCTAAATGACCTGCTATTTACGATATTCCCGGATTTATAGTTTTTGAGCAAATTGGGTTTAAAGTTTTTGACAAAATTTGGACTAAAAGTCAAATTTAAGGGTTAATTGCTCAAAAACTATTTCAGCTATCAAACTCAATTTTACACAGATTTATAGAAAATTAATTGCTCTTTCCAATGATATATAATTTATTCCAATTTGCTCGACATTTTCGAAAGATATGGGCAATTTAGGCAGAATTCCATTAAAATTATGAGAAATGTTAGCGAAACATTATGCGAAATTATAGTGTAATTTTTTTTGGAATTTCCAGTTATGACATGGGATTCCATTTAATTTCAATAAAATATCTAAGAAATTACGACAAATTAAAAAAAAAAAAAAAAAAATGTTAAATTTTAACAAAATTACATAGAAATTATGCGGAATTCTCTAGAATTTACGCGGAATTCCATTGAAATTACATAGAAGTTCAACTAGAAATGCTAAATTCCATCAAAATTATGTGGAATTCAAGTGAAATTAAAGGAGTAATGACGTGGAATTCCAAAGAAAAAAAGGAATTAATTTTAGAAAAATTACATGAATGTAAATTACATATAATTCTATAGGAACTTTGCAAAATTCTATAGAAATTATGCGAAATTTCAGTAAAATTAAATGGAATTAAATGAAATTCCGTAAAAAATATGCAAAATATTGAAATTATGCTAAATTCCAAAGAAAAGAAAATCGTTAAATTTTGAAAAAATGCATAGATTTCCAGAGAAATTATGCAAATTTCTTTAAAAATTATGCGCAAATTCAATGAAATTAAATGGGAAATGATGTAGAATTCCAAAAAAAATCGTTGAGTAATAAAATTACATAAAAGCCCATAGAAATTATGTGGAATTGCATAAAAATTATACAAAATTCCATAAAAATTATGCTAAATCCCGTTGAAACCATGAGGAATTCCATTGAAATTATGCTGAACACCATGGAAATGATGCCTTATTTTATACAACGTATGCAGAATTTCATTGAAAATATGCCAAATCCCATTAAAATTATGCGGAATTCTAGTGAAATTAAATGGAAAACGACATAGAATTCCAAAAAAAGCATTGAGTTTCAAAGAAAACAAAATCCCATAAAAATTATGTCGATTTAAGTTGTGTGAAATTCCGTAAAAATTATGCGAAATTTCATAGAAACTATGCAAAAGTCTAGAGAATTTCTGCGGAATTCTATGGAAAATATGCAATATTCTATAAAAACTATGCATACTTCTACTGAATAATGCGGAATTACGTGGAAATTATGCTGAATTTCATAAAAATTGTGTGCAATTGAATAAAATTCCAGTAAAATGTATTAAAATTCCAGGGATACGACGTACAACTCCAAACAAAAATATGTGGAATTCCGGTAAAACTATGAAATTCCGATGAAATTCCATTAATTTTCCTGGAGTTCCAAATAATTTCTCCAAAATTTTAAATTATTCTCGTGAAATTCCAAAAAAAAAAATATGATATTATTTAAAATTCCTGTGAATTTCCGAGGAATTCCTGTGAAATTTCTTGCAATTACAGAAAATTTCCTTGAAATTACATGGATTTTTAGTAGAATTCCAGAAAATTTTTATAGAATTACGAGGAATTCTGGTGTACCTACATTTTTTAAAAAAAAAATTACCAAAAAAAAGAATTTTTTTAGTACATTTCAGAGACCATGACACCGTCGTTATGGTTATGCTGAATTTTACCTTATACTTCAAAATTCAGGCAAATTTTTATTAATCAATTAATAATAATTATTGAAATTTGAAATAACTAATAACTAATAAGTTACTAACCACTTACTCAAATATAAAAAATCTTGTGAAATTATTAGGGATTTCAGTGAAATTACGTGAAATTTTTGTGAAATTATTTGGAAGTTCAGTGAAATTCCGATAAAGTTATGTGGAATTTCGAAAAAATTCCAATGAAATTCCATCTATTTTCCAGAAATTTCACGTAATTCTCCCGAAACCCCAAATTATTCTCGTAAAATTCCAACAAAATTTCGTAAAAATTACATTAGATTTTCATGCAACTTTAAAAAATTCTTGTGAAATTATTTAGAATTATAGTGGAATTACGTGGGATTCCGGTAAAATTATGTGATACTGCGAAAGAATTACGACGAAATTTTTCGAGTATTCGACTCAATGCCTCCGGAATTTTAAGTTATTCTCGTGAAATTCCAGAAAATTCCCATGAAATTCCAAAATATTTACGTAAAATTACGTGGAATTTGCGGTAAATTTAAAAAAAAAAATCCTGTAGAATTACATGGAATCCTTCCAACATTCCAAAAAAAAAAATTCCTTGATAATTTGCTATTGTAAGTATCACTTGGAATTCTCGTGAAATTGAGAGAAAAAATCACAAAAATTTCCGAATATTACATAAAATTCTTGTGAAATTACTTAAATGTTTTATTGAATTCCCAATTATTCTCGTGAAATTACATGAAATTTCCGTGGAATAACTCAAAATTTAAGTGAAATTCTGAAATAATATGAAATTCTCATGCAATCCCGAAAAGTTCTTGTGAAATTACTCAATACTTTAGCAATATTCCTGTACAGTAAATCGGAATTTTAGTGGTATTTAAAAAAAAAAAAATTAATTTCAGAAAATTTCTTGGAATTCCCGTGGAATTGGGAAAAAAATTTACGTGAAATGTCCTGAAATACTCATGAATTATCAAAAAGTAATTTGTGAAATTACATGCAATTCCAAAAAATTCCTGTGAAAATACAGTAAATTTCTTTGAAACTAATTGAATTTTTAGTGGAATTCCGAAGAATTTTTAGGGAATTCTGATGTGCAATTTTATTTATGAAATATAAAAAAATTCCTATGAACATTTCTGAAACATTTCACGAACATTCCCGGAACATTCTATAAACATTCTTGGAACATTTTATAAACATTTCTAAAATATACATCCTATAAATCTGTGATTTGATAGCTCAAATAGTTTTTGAGCATTTAAGCCATTTAATCCAAATTTTGTCAAAAACTTCAAACTCAATTTGCCCAAAAACTTAGAGCTTAATAAAAGCTACAAATGCTGAAATTTTCAAAATCTTGACATGGTCATGAATAATTGCCCATATCTTTGTTGAATTTTGAGCAAATTGGAATAAATTTATGTCATTGAAAAGAGCATTAAATTCTCTATAAAGCCGTGCAAACTTGATTTTGCTAGCTCGAATGGTTTTTGAGCAATTGATCCTCAAATTTGCTTTATGGTCCAAATTTTGTCAAAAACTTCAAGCTCAATTTGCTCAAAAACTATAAACCTAGGAATATTGTAAATTACAGGGTTTTTAGAGTTTATTAAGAGCTACAGATGCTGAAAATTTCAATGTAATTTACTCAACGGTTACCAAGCAATCAAGGTTTGAATATTTTGAAATCAGAATTGAAAGGGGATACCTACCCTTAAGAAAAACTCGATTTTTTTCAATTTTGCTCAATTTTGACTTTACTAATCGATAGAGCGAATGAAAATTAATGAAAAACAACCCTAACATCAATTCTAAATGGCCATTTCAAGCAAAAACAGAATCAAAAAGAAAAATATTATTTTTGACTCAAAAATCTTGACATGGTCATGAGTAGAGAAGGGCATATATGCAAAGTGCATATTTTGCATAATTTGCATATTTTATGCATTTTTAATTCATTCTGCATATTTCTTCGAAATCCTGAAAATAGTGCATAAAATCTATCAAATTTAGACAAAAGGTTTCAATGAAAGAAATAATTTTTAAATATTCAACCATTCAGCAGGTACGTAATTACCGGAAAACCCACCATGAAAGATCCTTCACTGAGCCTTGTTATGGAAATTACACCACTATTCATACTGGTGATTAAAACCTAATTCAACCATTAACTACCTACCTGAGTATGTACGTAATTTGGGACCTACTTGCCTGGAAGTAGAGCAATAAATATTTATTCATTCGAAGTTCTGATTTTGTGTACTGTATGCATCATTTATACAGCTCCGTTCAAATTTTTGAGAAAATGCCTAAAGTTTCAAGTGCAAGTATCTCCATTAGGATAAAACCATACAAAGAAATGTACCTATATTGACATGGGGAAGGTGTACTGCTCCTCTTGTAGTAAAATAGTAAGCTTTATTATTCTAACTTCTATATTATTTTTTGTTAGAATAGCTATTTTGCGGACTCATTCCAGTACGTAGAAAGCTTCATTTTCCGCCTAGTCCCTTAAAGTCATATCAAAATTTGCAGGCTATTTTAAATGATTCAGTACTTAGATAATTATTTTGAAATTTTTTGACAAAATTGATACATACACAAAACATGTATGGTATAATATTTTATGTTTTTTTTCCAAAAACCACTTTTATACAGGGTGTTTGGCGGAGGGTTAGCCCAACTTGGTTGGCGTATAGATAGGCCCCTTTCGAAAATATTTTATTAATACACTTGTGGCCTTAAGTTCCCCTTTTTTTATCATTGCTTTGGTATTGTTCTCAAGAATTTTCAAAAATGGACCTAACTTTTTTTTAATTGTTTATGAAAATGTTTTTTTCGTGTCTTTTTGGTCTATAAGGTATCCTTGATTTTGATGAATACTTGCATATTTTCAAAAATACTTGCATATTTTGACTAAAATATATGCATATATATGCGCATATTTATTATACTTTCATATGCATATTTGCCTTTCCCTAGTCATGAGCAATCCCCTCGTTTTTATTCTCATCGGTGAATTCACCGATGAGTTAGCTATCTTTGTTGAGTGAATGGAAAATGACAATAACCGACATAGAATGGTGGATCCATCGGTAAAATTTGATGAGAATAAAAACGCAGGAAATTGCCCATATCTTTGTTAAGTTTCGAGCATTAAATTCTTTAGTTCAAAATTAGGTTTGATAGCTCAAATAGTTTTCAAGCAATTGAGCCTCAAAGTTGACTTTTAGTCCAAATTTTGTCAAAAACTTCAGACTGAATTTGCTCAAAATCTATAAATCTGTGAATATTGTAAGTAACAGGCCATTTAGAGCTTAATAAAAGTTACAAATGCTAAAAATTTCAATGCAATTTGCTCAACGGTTACCGAGCAATTGAGGTTGGAATATTTCGAAATTAGAATTCAAAGGGAATACCCTTCCAGGAATGTATATGGAATGTTTGTAGAATGTCCCATCAAGACAAAAATATTTCAATATATTTTTGAAATAATTCGTCTATTTCCCTAAAAAATCTTCGGAATTCCACTAGAAATTCAATCATCTTTAAAGAAATTTTCGGTTTTTTCTCAGGAATTTTTTGGAATTCCATGTAATTTTACAAATTACTTTTTAATAGTTCATGAGTATTTCAGGTCATTTTCCGTAAATTTTTTTGGAATTCCACTGAAATTCTGAGTTATTTCATAAAAATTCCTTGGAGTTTTGCTGAAATTTAAAAAATAATTTTACGATTTTTTTTTTGGAATTTCATAATTATTTATACGATTTTTCAAGTGTGAATTTTTTTGAAATTTCACGAGAATTTTGATTTATTTCACAGGATTTTTTTCAAATTTTGCTACAATTCCTAATAATTTCAGGAGAAATTCAAGTAATTTTATTTCAGTAAAATTATCTAAGAAATATCTGAAGAATTTTTTGGAATTCCGAGTAATTTTACAGGATTTTTTCGGAATTTCAATGAAATTTCAAGTACATTATTTCATGGAAATTTTATGGAATTTCTAAATACTCCGTATATAGGAAGGGTTTTTTTTGAATTCCACAGGAATTCCAAGTAACTTTGAAGAAATTTTCTGGAATTTCACTTTTTTTTTTAAATTCCACTGAAATTCCGATTTACTCCACAGAAATATTGCCAAGTAATTTCACAAGAACTTTTCGGAATTGCACGAGAATTTCATATCATTTCACTTAAATTTTGAGTTATTCCACACGAATTCCATGTAATTTCACGAGAATTCTTGGGAATTCAATAACAAATTTAAGTATATTCACAAAAATTTTATGTAATTACGGCAATTTTTGCGTTTTTTTTTTTTTTTCAATTTCACGAGAATTCCAAGTGATACCATAGAAATTCTTCTAAATTCCACTGAAATTGAAACTAACTTTAAGGATTTTTTTTTTGAATTTTACGAGGTTTCCATGTAATTCTACAGGAATTTTTTTTGAAATTTAGCGAAAATTCCACGAAATTTCACGTAAATATTTTGGAATTTTATGAAAATTTTCTGAAATTTCACAAGAATAACTTAAAATTCCAGATACATTGAGTCGAATACTCGGAAAATTTCGTCGTAATTCTTTTGCAGTATCACATAATTTCACCAGAATCCCACGTAATTCCAATATAATTCTAAATAATTTCACAAGAATTTTTTATAGTTGCATAAAAATTCAATGTAATTTTTACGTGAATTTTTTGGAATTTTACTAGAATAACTTGGAATTTTGGGAGAATTACGTAGAATTTCCGGAAAATAGATGAAATTTCAATGGAATTTTTTCGAAATTCCACATAATTTTACTGGAATTTCACTGAACTTCCAAATAATTTCACAAGAATTATTTGAAATTTCACGAGAATTTCATATAATTTTTACAGGAATTTTCTAGAATTCCAGGAAAATTATTGGAATTTCATCGGAATTCCACGTAATTCCACTAAAATGCCAAATAATTTCACAAGATTTTTGGTATTTGAATAAGTTGTTAGTAGCTTATTACTTATTAGTTTTTTCAAATTTCAATAATTATTATTATTTGATTAATAAAAATTTGTCTGAATTTTGAAGTATTTAAAAAAAAAAAAAAATTGTACACCAGAATTCCTCGTAATTCCATAAAAATTCTCTAGAATTCTATACTAAAAATCCATGTAATTTCTAGGAAATTTTCTGTAATTGCAAAAAATTTCACAAGAATTCCTCGGAAATTCACAGGAATTTTAAATAATATTTTTTTTTTTGGAATTTCACGAGAATACTTTAAAATTTTGGAGAAATTATTTGGGACTCCAGGAAAATTAATGGAATTTCATAATTTTACCGAAATTCCACAGAAATTCCACATATTTTTGTTTGGAGTTCTAAGTACGTCTTATTCCTGGAGTTTTATTAAATTTTACTGGAATTTTATTTAATTGCACACAATTTTTATAAAATTCCGCCTAATTTCCACGTAATTCCGCATAATTTCAGTAGAAGTTTGCATAATTTTTATAGAATATTGCATATTTTCTATAGAATTCCGCAGAATTTCTTTGGAATTTTGCATAGTTTCTATCAAATTTCGCATAATTTTTATGGAAGTCCATACAACTTAAATCCACATAATTTTCATGGGATTTTGATTTTTTTGAAACTCAACGCTTTTTTTGGAATACTATGTCGTTGTCCACTTAATTTCATTAGAATTTTAATAGGATTTGGCATCTTTTCAATGAAATTTTGCATACTTTGTAAAAAATTTGGTATCATTTCCATGGTATTGAAGCTCAAAGTTGACTTCTAGTCCAAATTTTTTCAAAAACTTCAAGCTCAATTTGCTCAAAAACTATAAATCTGAAAATATTGTAAATTACAGGCCATTTATTGACATATTCTCCGTAGTTCATAAAGCCTGGCTTAGTGGAAAAGCTCGGCTTTGTGACACAAAAATCCAAGCGTTTCCACTAAGCCAGGCTTTATGAACTACGGAGAATATGGCCCTTAGAGGTCAGTAAGAGCTACAAAAGCTTAAAATTTCAATGCAACTTGCTCAACGGTTACCGAGTATTTGCGGTGTGAATATTTTAAAATCAGAATTCAATGAAAAACTCGATTTTTTAATTTTCCAGTTTTGCTCAATTTTGACTCCACCAATCGATAAAGGGGGTCAGAGTTAGTGGAAAATAACCCTGACATTAATTCCAAATGGTCATTTTAAGCAAGAACAAAAAGAAAATCTTATTTTTGGCTGAAAAGTTTTCAAAATCTTGACATGATCATGAACAATTGCCCATATTTTTGTTAAATTTCCAACAAATTGAAATAAATTATACACCATTAGAAAGAGCATTAAATTCTCTATAAATCTGTGCAAAATTAAGATCGATATCTTGAATAATCTGTGAGCAATTGAGGCTCAAAGTTGACTTCTAGCCAAAATTTTGTCAATAACTTCAAACTCAATTTGCTCAAAAACAATAAATCTGGAAATATTGTAAATTACAGGCCATTCAGAGCTTAATAGGAGCTACAAATGCTAAAAATTTCAATGCAATTTGCTCCTCGGTTACCGAGCAATCGAGGTTTAAAGATTTTGAAATCAGAATTCAAAAGGGGTACTCTTATGAAAACTCGATTTTTTTAAGTGAAACTTCTCAGGCGGCGATCTGATATTTGGACGAGAATAAAGAGTGATCTGAAAGACGCGTCACGTTTTGGCATATTTCGTTACATGAGAGAGAAAAAAAAATAACGTAGAGGGACGGAGAGAGACAGCCAATGACAATGACAGCCGTTCGACTATTGCTCCATGTTTACTGATAACCCGCACGCAGTCGCCGCAATTTGCCACCGTTCAACCCATAGATATGTTTAACCCCCTTACAAATATTAAGTTGGATGTATGTACAGGGCGCGTTCGAAAATGGAAATTTACTCTGAGTCACCCTGTACTACAATGAACAGAACTAATTGATAATTGTTTATTTTTAGGACTACCCAGAGCCAAATTCTAAATGAAAACGTTAAATCATTTATGATCCGTCTTCAAAAATCACTACAGCTAGACGTAGTAGATATTGCAGATTTTTCATCTAACCTTATAGAGGACCCTAATTTAAACAAAATCGTATCTCGCATTCAATCCAGGCACTTGGACATAATGAACAACTTCTCGAAACTGAAATCAGACGAACATTTGATGTCCCATGTAGCTGATCTTCACATGAATCTTGCTTTCGCCGAACTATACATTAACTCTTTTCTGCCCCAAATTGATCCGCTAGCTAAGAAAGCTATGAAGAAAAATCACATTGCTTCAGTGATAAGCATGTTTGAGCAAATGAAGCAAAGCTTTGATATGCAAAATAGTTTGTTTAGTAATGAGGAAAAGTGTAGGCATCCTTATTATGTGGCGATTGTGGGAATTATTAAAGATTTACAAGAGAGGATAAAGAAGTATGGCGAAAGTGCTAATATTGGAGTCAATTCGTATGCATACAGTTATGTATTACAGGTAAGTTGCTCATATAATATATGAAGTTTTAAAAATGTTCCAAACTTATCTTTCAGCAACTTAAACATGCCTCAAACAGCGTCCTCAAAACCACAATCCTAGACGACATCGAAAACTGCACAGCTGTATTAATCTCTAAATCATGCCCTCAAAACATCCCTGAAACCGAAATGCAATATTCTCTTAATAAACTGCAAACAAATTTCTTGAGTTTCGAAAGAATAAGTCAAGATTGGAAACAGTATTGCGGCTCTTATCCTGACATTGTGGAACCATTACTGTCAAACATTTCGCAATTTTTGTATGGTTTCAAACTGAAACTATTCTGGATCAAGAGGGAATATTCAAAACAATGCGGCGGAAACTTGGAGAATGAATTATTAAGACTAGCTGCATTACCCTCATTAGACGCAAACTTTACTAGTCTAGACAAGGTTGCTGATTATTTATCTTGCGAACAATTTCCAAATCTTAAAGAACAGGAAAACGTTAGGTTTGTATATAAATTATTAATTAAAGGAATTAATAATGGCCTGTTTGTTTGTTGTAGGCTGCAAAAATGCGCTATACAAGAATGTTTCAATCAATGCGTGGTTAACGGAAAGAATTCGCGTTTACTGGATGCTGGTTTGTTTCAAAAGTTTAACTCTTTGGTTGAGGCGTTTGTGGCTGTATGGAATACCCAACAGGAGAATAAGGAGAAGGAAAAAACTGAAGCTGAAAGCTTGTATAAAACAAGGTAAGAGATAATAATAGTTAATTTAAGATAGGTTGAGGTTCCTGATGCTCCATATTTGATCCATTATAATTACTCTAATTTTTCAGAACGAAATGCGATGACAAAACCGAAGAACAACTAATCGATGACGAACTGAAAGAACTATTCCCCAACCATCACGTACTCGATTTTTCTGACCTCCAAGAAAAATCCCTATCGGATGCAACGCCCGACGAGCCGACTTCAAATAAGCCAATCACGGAACTGATTACCGACGAAGATGTGACGTTCGTCGTCGACCTGCATTCGAAACTTTTCAAAAACTTCATTAGGACCGAATGGCTTGCGCCCGCACCGAGCAAAAACGTTCAAGCAGATTTTGTTGGTCCCCTAATGGAAAACTATAAAATTGTTAGAAGGATAATGGACGCTAACGGGCAATACTTTCAATATACGTTCGATACAAAACTTTGCGGAAGTTTGGCGGTGTTGCTGGAAGTTTCCAGGCGATACGGGACTGTGAGCGAATTCGGTACGTATGTAGCTAGAGGTGTAAGTTGAATTAAAACTTTCCTTGGAACTTTGAAACATAAGCCTGAATTTTTGTTGCATGTTATTATGTCATTATGAATAATTCAAAAAATAGTTTACCGTTATGAAATAGCGCCTCTGCTTATAAAAATTTGTTACCTTTTCGAACTTTTTGATGGTCACTCACTATGGTTTGAATCGTTAAGCCCAGTTTGGTTTTGTCTTTGAATTAATCCTCTCTCTACATTGTTTAAAAGCCTTATTATCTAAGCCTACAAAGACAGCTACCAAATCATATTCCATCTTCTGTATATACATGATATCAAGCTCGCCTCTAGGACTACTTGACGTCACTTACACCTTCTAGAATGACATTTGGAATGGAACAAGGTGAATGATTGGTATCTGCAGCTAGCTCATCCAAAATTAGATTTAGCTGAGATTTTGACTAGAAATCTCACCACATAGTATTATCACTCTACGTTGTACCCTGACCTACAACTTTTGTGAGAGATACATGACAAGATGGATAATATCCTAGAAACGAAAAAGAATGCGAATCAGAACAAGGATGCGTCACACAAAAGTATCATTCACGAATTTGATTAGGTACTCGGAAATAACACAATATCGTATTGGAAATTTTGATAGAATACTGCAATCTGCCATCTATGTAAAAAAGTTCAACTGAATAGTATTGTCCTGATTAAGATAGTGGATAGACAAACCTGGCCATTGACTCTCCCCTATTAAAAAGTTTTTTTTTTGCTTAATTCAAGGGTTTGGTCATCACATCTGCAAGTTGTTATTCAGTTAAACCTTGCTCGATTTCTCATTTTTCTTCAAGAATCTTTCTCTCTTATAAAAAAGTATTTCATTTCCATGTGTTTTGTTCTGCGGCTGAATTGTGAATTTTCTGCTAACTTTACTGCCGCAGAATTATCGTATCAACTTCGAGAGTTGGAATATTATTGATTCGTAAAGTCTAGTAATCCATAAAATTTCTTAGGTAGCTTCATTCGCAGCAACTATGTCTTGGGTATCAACAACGTGAAGCATTGTTTTAAACCATATTATGCTTCTCCTGAACTTCTAAATTTGATAATTTCCACGGTGGTATAACCATCTGATTGTTTCATAAAAATCGTATTCTGTAGACTCATTCACATGGTAGTGCTTTTGCGTTTTCTGGTAGCATAAGAATATCCCAGGTTTTGTTTTCTTTAAGAGAATCGATTTCTGAGTCCTTTGCTTTTTTCCCCTCTTCTTTGCTGTTTATAGCTTTTTGGTGTTTTGATTTTTTGAATAATTTCTTCTGCAATTAAAACATAATCATAGATGAAATAATAATATAGAGGCTTTCTGTTTAATTCACATTTAAACGCCGATCCATCTACGTCTTGTTCATCTTCGATTTTTTGTTCTGTTCATGTAGTTGAAGTTGAGTTTCTCTGATTTCTTTGAGATTTTCTCGAATAGGCTTGCTTGACGTTGTTTTGTGGGGGTAATTGACCGCGCCCTTCACAATCTGTCAACTTTTCTAAAAATCTGAGATTCCTAGACATAACTGCTTCTGATTCTTCTTCAACCAAAATTCTGTATCTCTCTTTTCCATGATAACCAAGAAGGTATTCTTTGATTGCCTTTCTGTCCATTTTTTGTCCTGGATTGCACCAGAATATGTGCATAGCAGGTTGAGCCAATAAGTCTGAGCTGTTTTTTTTCTTTGGTTTTTATTCATCCATAATTCATATGCGTGAGAAAGTTCTGGTTGTGTTAAGTACATGAATAGCTGTGTTGACAAATTTAGCCCATGAAGGTTGAGAGGCTTCTCTAAGAAACAACTACTTTTCAGTAGAGACGCTCTGCTGTGGTTGTAGTATCGCAATTTCCAACATTGGGATGATTTCATTCTCCAATTTAAGGATGCATTTCTGATATACGACTATGAATTTTCTCTCTGGGATGAAATCTGCTGAAGAACTCAGGGTTCCCAGTAGAGAGTCATCAGCATTTTCGTGATAATGCAAAACCTTTTTAATGAGCTACCCGAAGCACCGACGGAAGCAACTAAAAATCAGTTTTGACGACGCAATTTTCTGCCATAATTTCATAATATTTCCTCTGTGCAAGAACTTCTGTGCTTGAGTCAGTCAGTCGAGGAAATTGAATAACATCTTCAGCGTTTTGTTCCACCACCAACAAATTATCGTCAGCTCTTGGAGGCTGTGTTTGCTTATCACAAGCCTAGCTAGAATATTCACGTACCATATACCTCTAAATTATTTTCCTCCGTTAAGCACAATGCTCAGACACTTTCTAATGGTGATCCCGTCACCATTGACGGTATTACTAGTTCCAGAGAACAGAATGTGTGTTGGAACTTTGGAAGCCCTGGGCTGAAATCACGACAATTAGAATTCTATTTTCATGACGTCACTCGCGACCTATTTATCGCATACAGTACAAGCGATGATGACGGTTGCTAGACAACCTGACGTCATGAAAGTAGAATTCTAGTAAAATTCTACTTATCGTGATTCCAGCACAGAGTATCGTTTCCGTCAGTGTCAGCAGGAACGTAAAGTTTTATTTACAAAAACATACGTAATGTTGACATTTCTGAGTTTTCAAATATTTGAAAGTGACACTTTTATGAATTTTACTTTCCTCCCGGGTGGAAAGTGCTCACTTTTCACCCGGGTGGAAAGTAAGCCCTCATGTCCTAAAATGTTAAAGACAAGTCCTGCATGTCAAACGTTTTTTTAGAGAAGTCAGAACTTGTCAAAAAGATTTTTTAATTTTTATTTATTATTTAGTCAAAACTGTGATGGTTGTAAATAAAATAGTATACAAACCTCGTTAGGAAGTTTCATTCCTGTCTCGAGATTATAGTTAACTTCACGTCTCAGTTAACTAACTAATCTCTCGACAGTAATGGAACACTTCCGACCTCGGAATGTAATATAGGTACTATTGTTACCGTTGTGATAATGATAAAGTCACCTTATAAGGTCTTGTCCGACTTCTTAAAAAAAAACGAACAACCGGTAATAAGGCACTAGAACAAGTGTCTTCCCTTTTCGCATCCAAATTCGAGGCCACCCTTCGTCTCAAGATTCTCTTAGATTATGTTCAGGCTCACGCTGAAAGCGATGAACGAGCTTACTTGAATGTGAAAATATGTATACGGTATATCTTTCCCGGGTTTATTGAATAGTGACGCTTCAAGAACCCTCATGAGTACCAATGGTTGAAAATGTGAAGCTCTGCGGACCTCCTGTAAACTCGGCCAATGCCAATTTCATTGTACGGTAACGAATGGAGACGCTTGCAAGTCCTGCGATCCATTCGACTTCCAATTCAGCTTCGAGAGCGGATTGTAGTGATTGGAGCTTTGGTGGTGCCTTCCCTTCCTCGTTCTTTGAGTCTCGGTATTGATTTCTGGAACCGCATGGGCATTGTACCTGACCTCCATGCTGAAGAAGAGAACTTCTGCAATTTCCAGGATTCTGATCGTGAAGTCGTTATAGTCTTCACCCTGATCTTCAACGTCTCTCGACGACTTAGTCAATACAACATTTTCGGACAGGAATGACTTCGTAGGCTGTACAAACTTGGTTGAATTGGTGATCAAGACGAGCTCGGCTCTATGAAGTAGGCAGGCACACTTGAAGCATAAAAGTTAAATTTTACGTAATCGTTTAGTGCTTCGGTTATGCCTCAATGTGCTCCAATCCTCAAATTAGCAACTCTATTTTCGGAGATATTTTGGATTTAAGGAATCGCCTGCTCACTTCACACCAAGCAGGAACAAGGGAAGTACCAACGTTCAGTTACAGATAAATGGTTAGTGCTCCGTTAATGCTTCAGCTTCAATCCATAAATTAGCAACCCCTATATCTTCAGAGATATTTCGGTTTCTAGAAATCGCCTGCTCACTTCACCAGGGTGCCATGAAAAAAAGCAATGGTTGTTGTCCTATCTATTTGTATGAAATCATTAGGCGATTGCGAAAAGTCGAAATATATAAAGTATAAGAGTTGTTAAAAGTTGAGATGGTGCTTCCCATGTTCCTGCAAGGTGTGAAGTGAGCAGGCGATTTCTGAAAACCGAAATATCTCTGAGAAAATATAGGGGTTGCTAATTTGGGGGTTGAAGCACATTGAAGCACTAACCATTAATCTGTAACTGAACGTTGGTGTTTTTCTTGTTCCTGCTGGGTGTGAAGTGAGCAGGCGATTTCAAAAGACCGAAATATCTCCGAAAATACAAGAGCTGCCAATTTGGAATTATTTATCTGTAACTGAACGTTGGTGCTTCCCTTGTTCCTGTCGAGTGTGAAGTCAGCAGGCGATTTCTGAAAACCGAAATATTTCCGGAAATATAGGAATTGCTTATTTGGGGATTGAAGCACATTAAAGCACTAACCATTTATCTGTAACTGGACGTTGGTGTTTCCCTTGTTCCTGCTAGGAGTGAAGTGAGCAGGCGATTTCAAAAAACCGAAATATCTCCGAAAATACAAGGGCTGCCAATTTGGAACCATTTATCTGTAACTGAACGTTGGTGCTTCCCTTGTTTCTGCTGAGTGTGAAAGTGAGCAGGCGATTTCTGAAAACCGAAATATCTCTGAGAATATAGGGGTTGCTAATTTGGGGGTTGAAGCACTAACGAAGCACTAACCATCTATTTGTAACTGAATGTTGGTGCTTCCTTTGTTCCTGCGGGAGATGAAGTGAACAGTAGGCGATTTCAAAAAACTAGAATATCTCCAAAAACGCAAAGACTGCTAATTTGGGGATTGAAGCACATTGAAGCAGTAACCAGTTATCTGTAACTGAACCTTGGTGCTTCCCTTGTTTTTACTGAGTGTGAAGTGAGCAGGCGATTTCTAGAACAACCGAAATATCTCTGAAAATATAGGTGTTGCTAATTTGGGGATTGAAGCAGTGGCGTTTCCAGCCTGGGGCTCTGGGGGGGGGGAAAACCCGATTTTCG